TATCTAAAATGCATAAGAAACTTGTAAACAGCACTAAGAAAAAGATGGAAACACCAATGGTAAAACTGATAAAGAATATAAATAAAGTCTATAAAAGAGAAAATCTAAAAGGCTATCAAGCTTATGAAGAAATTTTCAAACTCAAGTTATCAGAGAAATAACTAATTAAAGGCTATCACTTTATACCAATTGCTCTGGCAAAACAATTACAAAACTGAATGATACAAATCTCACTGGGGCAGTGAAGATACCAAAGCCCTCTCACCCTGCTAGCAGGGAATGCAGAATGCATAGAGTGATGCACTCATAAGGCATGGAAGGGAATGCTAATTTATATTAGTGATTCTGCTCTGAGCTACACATACTGAAGAAATCCTCATTCAAGTGAAAGCTTTGTTAGGGTGGCAGAAAGTTGCAAGCAATCTAAACATCCACTGACTAGTGGAATGAATACTAAAAATACATTGGACAGACCTCACGAAGGGTAGCAATCATAAGTCATGGACAACATGTATAAACAGCAACAAAGGGAAATCTTTAAAATGTAGTGTCAAGGACAATATAAAATAAAATAATACCATACACTTCATGTATTTAAAATGTCTACATACAAATAATACATACTTTATAAGAACATATATAAACTAAAGAACATACATTAAAAGGGTTATTACCTATGGTAAGATGAAAGAAAATGAGAATGGGAAATGTTAAAAAGGAAGTAAGCAAATGAATAAATCAAGAAGCTAAGGCTGGTGCAGACTACATATGATAATAGGTCCTCAACTAAACAATACGATGAACTCAATTCTCTGTACTTCAGATCCCACAAGTGTATCAGAATATGAATTATGCTATGTACTGGCTAGCTATTAGAGAATTTTTCAAAACAAAGTGGCTAAAGTCTGTTCTAAGCCCACACACAATGTGTACAATCTTGTTCGTAGAAAATTAATTCCATGTGTAGTGTGGCTGTGGACTACCAAAAGATGAAGTCACACACTCAGCAGGAAGAGCATGGTTGCGGCCTGGTTTCACATGCAAGTTTAAGATAGTAACATCACTTTGAGAAATCGTAATTAGCTTGTTTCTGTAGATTTATACATAATCAACAGTTTCAACTCTTAAATTCCTGCTTCCCAAATAAGCAGGTACTCTGAGAGCCTGCTTGGTAAGCACTGACCTCTCAAACATGCATCGTTTGTCTTCTCAGCCAAACAAAATTCTGAGGAAGAAATGACTTCAAGAGTCATTTGATAAATATCCAAAAGATTCACCCCAAACCATTTGGACCTCCCTGGCTTCTTTGTTCCTTAGACTATAAACAGCCCATATTGCTCCATCTCAGATACAGCACGCAGCCTCATGCTGTATTGTCCAATTTGCCAACTGTCTAACTGCCTATTAAGTTTCCAGCACTGTTATAACTTTGTTTCAACTCTCAGAGATTATTCAACAGTTGACTGTCAGGTTTAACCCTCAAAATTCAAAATTCATCCAATAATTTAGAGCGACTTAAATTCAGTTAGAGTGCAGTTTTTTAATTCTATATACTGCTATCGTTGTTAGGTGCCATCGAGTAGGTTCCCATTCACAGCAAACCTATGCACAACAGAACAAGACACTATCTGGTCTGGCGCCATCCTTATTGTGAAGTTTGAGCCCACTGATGTTGCCACTGTGCCAGTCCATCTCCTTAGAGGTCTTCCTCCTCTTCGCTGACCCTCCAATTGCCCAAGCATGATGCACATCTCCAGAGATTGATCCCTCCTGATAATATGTCCAAAGTACAAAAGACAAAGTCTTGCCGCCCTCACTTCAAAGGAGCACTCGGGCTGTACTTCTTCCAACAGATTTGTTTGTTGATCTGACAGTCCATGGTACTTTCAATATCCTTTTCCAACACTATATTGTAAATGCATTGATTCTTCGATGGAAGGGGTGGGGAACATCTGGCCCAAGAGCCATATGTTGTTGCTGTTAAGTGCCATCGAGTCAGTTCCAACTCATAGGGACCCTGTATAGGGTTTCGAGGAGCAGCTGGTGAGTCTGAATCACCAACTTTGCAGTTCTAACCAACCTTGCAGTCCAGCGCATTAACCCACAGTGCCACACCAGGACTCGAGGGCCATATAAGGCCCACAAAATCATTTTGTCTGGTACTGCAAAGTCAACTGCAGTTCAGGCCATCACATTTTAGGAAGCTAATTTTTAAGGTGATAATTTTCTATGGGCTGTAAATGATGCTAAAAATATCCAAATGGCCCTTAACAGAAAAAAGGTTCCCCACCCTTGTTCTATGGTCTTCCTTACCCATTGTCCAACTTTCATGTGAATATGAGGTGACTGGAAATATCATGACTTGGGTCGGGTGCACCTTAGTCATCAAATGGATTTCTTTGCTCTTGAACATTTTAAAGAGGTCTTGTGCAGCAGATTTGCCTATTACGTCATTTGATTGACTGCTGCTTCCATGAGTGCTGATAATGGATCCAAGGAAAATGAAGACTTCAACGACTTCAAACCTTTCTTTACTTACAATGATGTTATTTATTGGTCCAATAGTGAGGATTTTCATTTTCTTTACATTAAGATGTAATCCATATAGGTCCAACTCATTCCAACCCTATATAGAGTTTCCAAGGAGCAACTGGTGAGTTTGAACCACCGACCTTGCTGTTCAAACAGACCTTGCCATCCAGTGCTTACCATAGAACACCACACTAGGACTCCCAGAGATACTATAAAGACAGAACTCACTAAGGAATGGAAATAATAGTTGGAGCTATCTAATTAGTCCTTATAAGTACCCCAAGAAGCTACCAGACTCACAAATTGATTTCTTGTACACCTTCAGATATGTCCTAAACCTTTCTGTGCCCTTCCTCATTTCAATAACAACCCCAATCCATTCCTACTTCCCAGCCCTCCCATTCCTACCAAGTTTGCATCTCAAACTCCTGTTCTGCCTCCAAACTCCAGCTCAAATGTCATCTCACTAGGATGCCTGTCCTGTCCATCTCCTTCTATCAAAGACTTAACGCTTCCTCCTTTCGATGTTCTGAATTTGTACTACATACAATGCATCATAATTGTTCCCATGTCTGCCTTCCCCAGTAGATTATGAGTCAATTTCTTATACGCAGACTGCCTACTTTTTGGATCCCTAGAGCCCCAAACAATGCTGAACTCAAAGTTATTGTTGTAAAGTGTCATCAAGTTGGTTCTGACTCACAGTGACCTAGTATAGGGTTTTCAAGGAGCAGATGGTAGAGCTGAACCACCGACTTTGCAGTTCAAAACAGTGCTTATCCTGCAGTGTCACACCAAGACTCCAAGTAGCCACTCAATAAATATTTACTGGCTGCATGTATATCTGAAGTGAGAAAATGAATCTATGACGTCTACCTGCAAAAATCCATTGTGTGCTATAACACCAAGCCCTGAGTCAATTCCAATGCATAGCAACCCTATATAGGGTTTCTGAGGCTATAAATATTTATGAAAGCAGACAGCCTCCCCTTTTTCACACAGAGCTGCTGGTGGGTTTGAACTGTCAACCTTGAGGTTAGCAGCCCAGCATCTATCCCATAATACTACCAGAACTCCTTATTGACTACTGTAGTCCAGTCCCAACTTTTTTTCATGTTGGGGTTTACTTACACACAATGTAGGTAAGTTACTAAAGATTTTTATTTTTAAATGTAAGCAGGTGACAGAATTAATTATAGAAATGGAATTACAGTTTAAATTAATACAGGATGCCAAATACACAGCTGAGTTACACACTAATGGAGTCACTACCGTAACTGAGTTTTTTTCCAAGAACCTCCTTCCATATAGTACTTGATGCCAAAATATATACTCAACTGACAAAGGTTTAACTCCATTCCTGGCTAGAAGGCAGGGATAAAACTTTTCAAAGTCGTTTTTCAACTCTACAATTCCCTCAATTATTAAAATGCAAGGGAGACACTTCATTCCAGAGATACTAGTTGCCGTGTGATACACAGCGAGCTTTTTTGGCTTGGCTAGTCAAGTCTCCCTATGACAGTCTCAGCAAGAAATCATTTCTAAAAAATACTCCTAGCTGTGGCAGGCAAAAGGAGTCCCTAAGTGACACAAATAGTTAAGTGCTTGGCTAAAAGAAAAGTCAACATTTTAAGTCCACCTAAGAATGCCTTCATGCTCACCAGCTGCTCCTTGGAAACTCTATACAGGGTTGCTATGGATCAGAATCGACTCAATGGCACTTAACAACAACAACAAGAGTGCCTTAGAAGAAAGACTTGGCAGTCTACTTCTAAAAAACAGCCACTGAAAACCCTATAGAGCAGTTCTATTCATCTACACAGGAAGCTCAAGAGTCAGAATGGCAGCTGGTTTGGTTTGGGGCTGGTGGTTGGCAGAATAACAGCCACTCAAAGATATAAATATTCTAATGCACAGAATTTGTGAATAGGTCACCTGGCAAAAGGGACCTTGCATATGTGATTAAGTTAAGTATTCTGAAATGGGAGCATTATTCTGGATATCTGGCTCAGCCCACTATAATCACAAAGGTCCTTGTAAGAAAAAGGCAAGAGAGTCAGAGAAATTAAGATGTGAAAAGCAGAGGTGATGGGAGCAGGAGGAGGAGGGTAAAGAAAAGGGGAGAGAGACTTTGATGTGAACAGTACACGCTGCCAGCTTTGAAAATGGAGGCAGGGGCCATGAGTCCAAGAACGCAGGCAGTCTCCAAAAGCTGGAAAAGACAAGGAAGAGGATCCGACCCCACCCCAGCCAGGTCTCCAGGGGAAACTCAAACCTGCTGACATCTTAGTTTTAGTACAGTAAGCCCTATTTTCAAATTTGACATCTAGAACTATAAGATAATAACTCTGTGGGGTTTTAAACCACTAAATATGTGGTAATTTGTTACAGCAGCAACAGGAAACTACAGCAACATAATCCCTTAATGGTGTCTCCTTAGTCAGCAACACAGAATAACCAAAACTTACCTTCTAAGAGAGTATGATCTCGAACAGCTTCTGCAGCTAATACAGACTTCCCACACCCTGCCATTCCATACACAGTGACCCATCCTGGGTCTCCATTCAGCTTGAAGAGCTTCTGCTGAATTGCATTAACCAGCTTCTTCCTAGTAACAAAAACAACTGGCCTTTGTGGTACTCCACCTTCACAGAGGACTGTCCTTACTGAAACACAAAAGAAATGAGCTTGAATGAACAGAACTGGTTTGAAATGGTTACTGAGTAGTACCATAAAAAAAACAAAGAAAGTCTATGAATTTCCAATAGAAGTTAAGAAAGTGGCTAATATATCAACTGCAACTTTTTTATTTCTTAGAACATTCAGAGCAAAAGCAAACATATACATTGCAAGATGACTATGGGCAAGATGACTCTCTGGTCCTTTTTTCTCATATTGAAAACTGGGAAAAGAGAATGTTAAGAGAAGAATATTGAGGGAAACCCTTTCATGAAAATAGATTTTTAAAGATACTTATTCTTTCCTATACATAATCACTGGACATGTCATCAAAGAGGGACCAGTCCCTGGAAAAAAGACTCCATGCTTAGTAAGTACTGGACAGAAAAAAAGGAAGACCCTCAACAAGACGGACTGTCACAGTGTATGCAACACTGGGCTCAAACATAACAACTGTGCGGAAGGCACAGGACCAGGCAGTGTTTCATTCAGTTGTGCATGGCTCACGATGAGTTGGAAATTACTTGATAGCACCTAACAACCACAACAACAATACATCTCTATAAATATACAGAACTAGAGAATCACTGTAATAAAGGCCTATAACCTACTTCATTATCTGTAAAAATCAGTATATGTGTATCATGAACTCAGTAGTAACTGCTCCCTGGGCAAAAAGAAAATGTGAGGGCTAACATGGCTACAAATAAAAAATATTTAAAGTACAATTTTTCACATCAATTTTCAGTGAACTGCACACAGTAACTTCAGCAGACTCCATCTATAGCAGGCAATACAAAATCATCAACTTAAAGATTATTAGCCTGCTATCTTTGGTCGAACATTTAATTAACTCACCCCAAATGATGGCTGAAACTGCAGAAGCCTTGGCAAGACCAGACCAAAGATTCCGGGGTCTTATATGGCCCAGAAGCCACACATTCCCCACCCGAGCTAAGTAAGACAAAATTGCAAAAATACAACCAATGTGATAGAAGCGATTGTGGATACAAACCATATGAAGTTATTCCACCAGCTGAATCTTTACCAGTGGAAGAAGACACCACAGGAACGCCACCATGGAGAAGGGCAGCCAGCTCTCGATATCCTTCATGTAGCAGAGCATTGTAGAAAGATATGTAGGAATAATTGTCTTTTTTAAGTATAATTTTAATTAGCATAGCTGCTCGTTGCTGTTGAGTGGGCTGGGGAAAAAACAACAACAAAACATTAAGTTGTTTAGTCTACAACAATTAACCCATTTCCAACAAAAATTAGCAGAAACCAGTACAAGTACTGAAATAAATTCCACACCATTTCAAGGTACCACAGACAATCTCCAAGGGTTTTACCTCAATTTTTACTTTTTCTTCTTCCAATACTGTTAAGCCTCCATCACTAATCATATGATCCATGATATAGGATGTCCTAATGTCTCTTTCCAGGGCTTCTCTATACTGAAGCAAACAATTCCGAGCTTTCGCATCCATCCTTCCTCAAATTGCTCGCTCTCTCTGCTAAGCTGTCAACAACCATGAGCTGTAGGCAAAACACCGAAACGTATGTCAGGAAAAGAAAGATGAAAAGATGTGCAACCTCACAGGCAATCAAGAAATGTAAATAAAATTAGATCTTCTCTTATAAAGATTTTTATAAATGAACAAAACCCAGTGTTTCAAAAGTGTGAGAAAAATGGGCATTCTTAGGCACAATACAAAATGGAAACTGCCTTTCTGGAATTCAGGATGGTAAGATATAGAACTGTTTGAAATAAGGATTCTATTTAACCCTTCTAAGAATTTACCTCAACTACCAAATAGCCAAACCTATTGCTGTCTGATGTTGTTTGGTGACCGTTAAGTCGGTTCCGATTCACAGTCACCCTGTATAGGGTTTCCAAGGAGCAGCTGATGAGTTTGAACCAGCGACCTTGTGGTTTAAACCGACCTTGCAGTCCAGTGCTTTATCGCAGTCAATTCCAATTCATGGGACCTGAGCGCACAGCATAGAGCTGCTCCAGCAGCCTTCCAATGCTGCCATCTTCACAGGTGCAGACTGCCACAGCTGTCCACCAAGGACAGTGCAGGCCTCCAACCTCTGGCTTCTTGGTTAGCAGCTGCGCACTTACCTACTTTTTCACCAGGACTCCTGTTTGACCTCAAGTAAACACACACATACGTGTATATGCAAAAATGTCCTTTATTTAACTGAAGGTATTTAGGTGACAAAAAAATATGAAAATACTCTAAATAGCAATCATTCTGAATATGGATTTTTTAAAAATCAGGGTACAAATATCAAATGAAATATAATACAGCATTTAAATAACACAAAATGTCTAGATGGAGGTAGTGGTGGTGTGCCACTGAGTTGGTCCTGACTCATAGCTACCCTGTGTAGCGTTTCCGAGGCTGTAAATATTTACGGAAGCAGAAAGCCTCATCTGTCTCCTAAGGAACAACTGATAGATGTGAACTGCTGACCTTGCAGTTAGCAGCCCAGCTCGCAATCCACTACATTACCAGGGTGCCACCTTAAATGTCTATATCAGACAGAAGCATAGTCATGATAGAATGCTGAGTGATAACATAGGAATCTGTTCCCATATCTAACACAAAGCATATATAATAATATAGAAGGAGATGATCTTAACTTCAGTCATCAAAATGCCTGGGTTATTCTGAGTGAAATAATCACAGAAGAACAAATATTACATGAATTCACTTATATAGAAAGACAAGAAAGGGCAAGTATACAGAGCTCTAAGTCTGTTTGTGGTTACCAGGAGCAGTATGGAAGGAGCAATGGGAGGGTGCTATTATTGCTTATGGAGGAGCCCTGGTGGCACAAGGCTTAAGCACCAACTAAAAAGCTGGTACTTGAAATCCACCACTCCCTCCCTCCCTCCACTGGTTAGGGCAGACTGCTTCAGTAAAGATTTGCAGACTTAGAAACCCGCTAAGGCAGTTCTACTCCATCCTAAAGGGTCACTATTAATTAGAGTTGACTCCACAGCAACAGTTTATTGAGTTTCAGTTTATATTAGAAAAATTGCATTGATTAAGGGTAGCTTACACACACACACACACACAAAAAAAAAAAAGGTAGCTTACACAATCAATTACTGTTAAGTGCTATCAGTAAGTTGCACACCTGTAAAAAGCTGAACTCACAAAAGTTGTGTGGGCAACTTATTCATAACAATGACCAAAAATATAAGAGCAGCTGCAGAGGCTGCTGATATACAACCAAATACCTCATGGAATCTGGTTACTTGGTATGGAAATTTAGGGTCATGATTTCACAGGCCATTCAGTCAGCTGGCCTAATAACACGGTTAATGCTTCTGTTCTACCTCCCAGTTCACCGTGTAAGTGCCTGGGGTCTCAAGAACTTGCTAGCAGTCATCCGAAGCACAACAATTAGTCTCTTTCTCTGGAGCAACAAACAGTACCTGTGTAATGTTGTTCCAACTCACAATGATTCTGCATATAGGCATGAACTGCTGACCTGGTAGTTACCAGTCGAGTGTTTATCCTACAGTGTTGCACCATGACTCTGGAGTAAGAAATACGAGGCAGAAATTAAATGTGTGGCTAACTGCTTCCATACACAACTTCCTCCTTTACCATGAGACCAGAAATGGACAGATGGTAATTTGCTGCCATTACTAAACATCTTGACCAAAGATTCTATAGAAGAATCTTGATTAAAGGGAGAAAATGCTGAACAGAATTTCACATTCCCATGGAGTCCATACTTTCTGGAGTCATAGAGAGGGATGAACCACTAAAACTCCTACCCTATGATAATCTTAAAATCCTAAACCAGCATATCCCCTAAAGTGTTAAAACCAAAAAGTTTAACATAACTAGTAAAAATGGTCTGTCTTGAGCATTATGCTCTTTTAATGTACAGATGATACAACCTTGCTTGCTGAAAGTGAAGAGGACTTAAAATACTGATAAAGATCAAAGAGCACAGCCTTCAGTATGGATTGCATCTCAATGTAAAGAAAACAAAAATCCTCACCACTGGACCAATAAACAACATTCTTATCAATGGAGAAAAGTTCAAGTTGTCAAGGATTTCATTCTTCTTGGATCAACACTCAGGGAAGCAGCAGTCAAGAAATCAAATGACGTATTGCCTTAGGCAAATCTGCTGCACAAGACCTTTTGAAAGTGTTGAAGAGCAAAGATCTCAGCTTGAGGACTAAGGTGCGTCTGACCCAAGCCTTGGTGTATTTTCAATAACCTCATATGCATGTGAAAGCTGAACAGTGAATAAGTGAATAAGGTAGAAGAATTGATGCATTTAAGTTATGATGTTGGAGGAGAATATTGAAAGTACCATGGGCTGTCAAAAGAGCCAACTGATCTGTGTTGGAAGACGTGCAGCCAGAGTGCTCCTTGGAGGCTAGGATGGCCAAACTTCGTCTCTCATACTTCAGACATATTATCGGGAGGGACCAGTTGCTGGAGAAGGATATCATGTTTGGTAAGGTCTCCACCTTACCTCAGAGAAAAAGAGGAAGACCCCCAGCGAGATGGACTGGCCAAGTGACAGCATCAATGGGCTCAAGCGGGGCACAAATTGTGAGGTGGGCCCAGGACCGGGCAGTGTTTCGTTCTGTTGGACATAGGGTAGCTAATGGTACCAACTCAATAGCACCTAACAACAACAACAACATCTATATGGAATCAAATTGACAACAGCAACTGGAAAGATCAGATAAGAAATTTAGGAGCAGCAAATTTATGCTAAAGGAGAGGAACCATTAAGAAAAATAGGGTGAGAATGGTTTCACAACCCGCAAAACGTCATCAATACTGATTAGTACCTGTAGAAACTGCTGAATTGGTTTGTTTTCCTGTATAAATTCCCCAACAACATAAAAAACATGTTTCAATGGCTTATTTCAAGTAGCAGCCTCTGGAATTGTTCAGTGTGGTGGTGTTGTTTTTTTTATTTATTTGTTGTACTTTTCTATACACATCAGTGGTTACGAATCTGGCTGCGAGCCGCAAGGTCAGCAGTTTGAAACTACCAGCTGTTCCGCAGGAGAAAGATAAGGCTTTCTGCTCTCATAAAGATTTACAGCCTCGGAAACCCTGTACAGGGTCGCTATGAGTCGGAACTGACTCCACGGCACATAACCACCAACAACCATACACATCATAATATTTAAAATAAAGCACTTCTTTTAAACTAAACTTTAATAGTGATTATTTGAAATCCTAATGTTTAGACGCTTCTTTTCTTTATACAACATAAGACTGAACAAAGTTTTGTTGATACTGAGTTTTTAGTTCATGTTCAAGGTGTATGTCTTCACTAGCAAACACATTCGTTACATGCTCACTCTACTAAAGTTTCAGCTGAGCTGTTAAGAATGACAAAGTAACAGGAAATATCTTCTGATGTCATTTCTTGTGTAAGAAGACCCAAAGAAAGAATATTCTCCATAATAAAATACTCTTCATGTTTCAAACATAATGCAAATTTTCCCATGGATCTAAAATCCAGATTGGAGCACAGAGGCTCCATAGGATAAAGCACTGGACTGTGAACTACAAGGTTCGTGGTTCCAGCCCACCAGCTGATCCATGGGATAAAGCTGAGACTTTCTGCTCCTGTGAAGACTTAAAGCCTCAGAAACTCTTTCAGTCTGAGCTGACTTGACTCCACAACACTTAATTAACAGCAACAAAAGTCTAGATTCAAATGTCATAGTTTTTTAAAAAATAATCAGAAGTTCATTCAATGTGAAAAGTGTCTAAATGGGTTCATTAAATATTATTCACTCACTGGACATTTGAGCCTGTACTATTTGCCAGATACTGACAATACAGAGAAGACTGAGTCAAATCCCTTAAGAAATCTGCAATCTAGTATAACAAAATTAGAAAAAACAGAATACCATGTGATATGCAAAAGTTACTTAATGATCAGACGGTCAATAACCATCAAGCTTCAACAATAACCATATTTTTTAAGTCATCACATGTGCCACTTGCAAAAATAGGTAAATACCAGAGGGCTTCCAAAAGTAGGTGGAAAGTGAATTTAAGAAATAATGGAATTTTTCCATGAAATCTTTGAAGCTCCCTTATATTTGCCACATCATTTGTCAAGTTTCAAAAATGCCTAGTACTGCCATTAAACTAATTGGTAAAAGAACCTAATCATTAAGATTAGAATGAAGGCTATCATATTTTTAAATGTTAGTGATGTTTTTATTCGCTTAATTTAAACTTTAAAGGAATGAAATTGACACTCTACAGTGACCTAAAACTAATTTGCAAGTTTACCTACTCTTATTAACCTTAAATAGGTACATTGTAAAATACGTTTTTAAATTCTGCACAAACTGAAATATTTTGAATCCTTTCCCAAAGCTCCCCCCACCTTTTGTAACACACCAAATTACAAAGCCCAAACTTCACAGATGTAAAGTAGAAACCAAAAAACCTTAATCGTTTACTACTTCCTCATTAGCTAATTTCTCTTCCTTGTTCAGGCGCAGAATGGTTACCAAATCATGTTTCCAAAACTTCAGTCTCTAAGATCTGCTACTGAGCCTCCAAAGAACCTAGCTCCAGGCTGGGAATTCTAGACCCAGAGAGGGAGAGGGGCTGTGTACTGACGACCGGGGGCCAGGCTTGAAGGGTGTATGTACCCTTTGATTGGTTGATGATGCATGGAAGGGACTGTAACCAAGGCAATGTAACGATATACGATAGGATGAATGTAAAGCTAATGTCCTCCCATGTAAACTATCACATAATTCACAATAAAAAAATAAAAATAAAGGAACCTGGCTCCAGAAGAAAAGCCAGGAGGCAAACTTACCCAAATCCTGGCCAAGAGGTCTTTCTGATCGTGATGAGCAGCGGGGACAGGCCCGGGGTAAAGGCCACCGGTGCCCCAGACCAGGAAGGCGGACAGCGGGCCGGCCTCACAGGTGCCTCACCTGGGCTCAGGCAGGTGGGCGTCCCCTTCGCAGCCTGGCGGCCCGCACAGTCCAGGGCCGAGGAGGTGAGGTGAGGCTGGCGGGCCGCCTCCCGGCCGACCCCGCCCCAGGACACAAAGAGAAGGGGACCACTAGGACTGTCGCTCCCACGCCCCTGCGGGAGCTACACCCAGAGACTTGACGACGCTGCGGCCACTTGAGGTCTTCGCTGGTCCCTGACGGCCCAGACGCCTCACCGCCGGCTCCCTCAACCTTTCTGGCCAGAGATAAAACAGCCACATCCACTACACCCTCTCCAGTCCGCTTCAGGATTGCAGAGCAGTTAAAACTCGCCCGGCCCGCCCAATCCAGACCGCTGATGCCCGCGAACACAAATAAACACTCCAGGATCTAGTTAGAACAACCGCTGCAGCACTCCACCTTCCGGAGGAGCCCCGCCCTCTGAGACGGGGGAGTGGCTACGCAGCCGTGCGCGCCGAGCTCCCGCGGCGGCGCGCTCTACGTGGCGCGCGGGGCCCCACCCCGCTCCACCTTAAGAGGTCCCGGCGGCTTGCGCCCGCGCGGAACATCAGTTTCCGCCGGCCCCTACCCCCACCCCCGTTTGTTGCAATTGCGCAACGGAAGGGGGAAGTGGGGTCGTTGTGTGCAGGATCCGCAAATGGGAACGGCTGTGAAGCAGCGAGGATGGCTAGGAGAGCTAGAGGGGCTGGTTTCGGGGCGGTGCCAAGCTTGTGAGGGGGCGCGGTCTCCACCCCAGCTTCGGGAGGAGACACGGACGGCCACGTCCCGTTCTCCTAGGGTGAAGAAGCCACTTTGCCTTGGGCTTGTCTTCAGGGCCTCCAGACATGTCCGAGGTGAAGAACCGGAAGAAGTCGGCACCCAGGACAGCATCCTCGGAGCCCAGGAAGCGGAGCGAGGGCGGGAAGAGCGTCGAGGCCCAGGGCGGTGGAGGCAGGGGCTGGGCGGACCCCCGGACAGGCCTGAGCTTACTGTCGCTGGGGACATGCCTGGGCTTGGCCTGGTAAGTGGACGTGAGACAAGGGATAGTCGTCCGCACGGCCGCCTGAGTCTTTGTCCTGCCTCCGGTGGTCGCCACACACTTTAGGACCACATCCTTTGCCCTGGTCCCACCCGGCACATCGAGCCGCCGACCTCCATCCGGCTAACCAATCTCCAGATTGTTCCTTGGCCTTGACCCCAAAGAAGGAGCAGCCTAACTTGGCTGTTTTGTTTCTTTCCCTTCTTTCTTTTAACGTATTTTTCTTTTTTTCTAGTACTTTACTTTCTAGAGGTTAAGGTTTAGGAACGAGTCAGCCATTTCTTAAGAGATGGAGATTCTTCCAAACTTTATATAGCGTCTATTCCATGTCAACATTAACATTTTTTAATACTGATAGTTCCTGCCATCTTGCTTTTCTCCAGGACAATTTTCCTCTTCTTCTTCCCCCTCCTAACCTCGAATGCTTAATGGAATTGTTTGCAACTTTAAAGAGTTCGCTTTGGTTTCAAAGCTGCAACTGTTACTGGTAATACCAGAGTTTGGGGAGTTTCTCATTTTTAATAAGTATTTAGGTATTCTGAATTTAAAGTGTTATTCTGTATTACAGACAACCTTAGTAATGTAAAACTACAAAAGTATAGTAGTGTTCGCTTTAAACTTATGTAATTGTAGTTTTTACACCAAGTAAAGAGCGCAGCTGCTGCTGCTGCGTGCTGTGAGTCAATTCTGACTCACAGGGATCCCCTATAGGGATTCCAAGGCTGTAAATCTTTACTGGAGCAAAAAGCCTCATCTTTTGGATTAGAGCTGTTGACCTGGTCCTTAGAAATCCAATGCATAACCCACTACTCTACCAGTGCTCCTTGTCAATACCCTAGAAATGAATAGAAATGATCTTAAAATTAATTCACTAATTCATTTTCTCCAGTCATTGTCTTTAGGGAGGAAAAAAAAGTACCATTTTATTTTAATTACAATACGGGCAGTTTGAAAATCCCTCCATTATTCACTTATGTTTCAAATATTTAGATCATTTTTCTTTTTCTTTTAACTTTTTACTGTGAATTCAGTAAAGGTTTGTAGAGCAGATCATCAGTTTTACATCCAACAAATCATATATTTCATTTCATTTTACTGATTATAAGCAGTCCCCTCCATGTAACATTAGTTACACCACTTCCTTCTTTTCCAGCCTTTCTGAATTTTAAGTACAAACTTTACCTAAGGGTAAATGCTACCCTTGTGATCTTGAATGATTGATGGACCATTCTGTGGTATGCATTCTTCCCTAGTATTGTCGTCCCTATATAATTATCTACTGCTTGGCTGGCAGCTGAGCCCTGAGGATGTGATTTCAGGTCCAGACCCGAAGAGTGATCAAGGGCCATAGTCTCAGGTTCTTCCAGCCTCTTTCTGTCCAGCAAACCTGATCTTTTTTTATGATTTTTGAGTTTTAGTCTACATTTTCTCCCACTCTACCCAGGATCTTCTAATGTAGTCCCTAACAAAACAGTTGCTAGTGGTAGCTGGGTATCATCTAATTCTTATCCTCTTAAGGATTTAAGATTGATAATCAGTGTTCCATTAGCCCATTGGACCCTGGTATGATGCTGTAGGATAAGCACTGGACTGGTAATCACAAAGTCAGCAGTTCAAACTTCCCATCTGATCTAGGAAACCCAATGCATGGTTGCTATGAGTCAGAATGGACATGAAAGCATACAACAACAACAACATAGTCCACTGGAATAATTGAGTCCAAGTATCTTTTCCTCCAGAAAGGGGAAAAACCAATAGTTGTACCTTAGATAGCTACTCATGAGCTTTTAAGATCCCAGTGACTATTCATTAAAGTTGGATGTAGAACATTTTCTTTATGAACTGTGTTATACCATTTGACCATGGTGTCCCTGAGTTTGTGGTCCTGAGCCCTCAAGGCCCAACAATTCATTCCCTCAAGGAGTTGGATAAGGTTTAAGAAGTTTTCATAAATTTGTCTCCTGTATGTTCTACCGTGGAGTCCTGGTGTATCACTGTAAGATAAGCATTGGACTACTAACAGCAGGGCTGGCAGTTCAACCCACCAGCACTCCTTGGAAATGCTGTACAGGGTCGTTGTGAGTTGGAACCAACTCCACAGCACTTAACAATAACAACAACATACTCCTCCACATTCATGGATATGTTTGCAGCAAAGGTAAACAGCCATGTACAAATACCTTGTCAAACCTTTACTTATATGTGTCTATATTGCTACTCTCCACCATATCCATTCACTGCATCTGTCTAATGTATCTATCCGTAGAGTGCTGTTAAACAGGATTGTGTTATAGAAAGAGAGAGCTGTATTTATCTCTATTCTTTTAAATTAGAAGATAATTTTAATAATCTTGAAGTCCCTGGTTAAAATGTTAAGCGCTCTTTTACTGACCAAAAGGTTGGTGCTAATACCCTACCCTTGGGAACCATTTCAAGAGGTAGCATGTGATCAAGAGCCAATGATGCTCAGGGAGGAAGTCCAAGGTGCATTGAAGGAACTGACAAAGAACAAGGCACTAGGAATTGATGGAATAAAATTTGAAATCTTTCAAGAAAGGCGGCACAGGAGGCACTCTCTCATCTATGCCAAGAAATTTGGAAGACAACTATCTAACCCACTGATT